GGACGCGAGGGGCAAGCTGCAGCCCTCAAGCTGCCGCCGCAGCACCCGGGCCAAGGCTGGGCCGCGGCCGACACGCGGCCACTGGCAGGTGGGTCGCGAAAAAACAATGTTCCCTCCATCTCTCCCCCCTCCCCGCAGCCGCTTGGGCATTATCGCGCAATGCATACAGATCGCTCACTGTAAGTATGGATGACTAGACGAGCGCGCCCCACTACTCGCAAAGTAACTACCCGCAAATGGCCTGGACCCCCCGCGGGTGATCTACCATAAAATACATCAAAGCAGACACGTGTTTTTCTTCTGACGTGGAACGCTCTGGTGAGAGAAGGCCCGCCTCCTCCTCCTCTCTCGGGCGCTGTTTTCGGGAGGCTTGCCCCGCCGACGCACTTGCTGAGTTGCGAGTTGCGATGAAGAGGGGCAAGGAGGAGGGCCGAGAAGGAGGCGGAGGAGGAGGAGGACCGAAGACTAGGAGGAGGAGGAGGAGGAGGAGGAGGAGGAGGAGGAGGAGGAGGAGAGGAGGAGGAGGAGGAGGAGGAGGAGGAGGAGGAGGAGGAGCAGGAGCAGGAGGAGGAGGAGCAGGAGGAGGAGGAGGAGGAGGAGGAGGAGGAGGAGGGGACCGAAGAACAGAAGGACCCCGCCAGAGGAGGACAGAAGGGGGGGCGCCTCCAAAGCCAGGAGGGCGCTCCGGACCCTCGCGCCAGCCGTATGGCATGGCCGCAAGTCGTCTCTGACGCCATCCGCCCCGCTAAATGCCTGCCTGCGGCCCGCAACGAGCACCTCCGATCAGACGCATCCAAGACCCGCAGACGATGCGTCGCCGCTCCGTGTGCTCTCGACGCGCCAAAGTAGACGACGCCGACACCGCGGCAAGCCCGCGGCAAGCCCTGCGTCCCGCACCCTAAGTCGACGGGGCCGCCACGCGGCAGGCTCGCGCCCGAGGCGGCGTTTGCCCTGGTGAGCAGCGCTCCTCAAGACGGAAGGCCAGGCGTCGGAACATGCGGCGCGGCAACATGTGCCCTTTCCAGTCTGCGGCCCGCCGGGGACAGGCTCCCATCCGGGGTCCACCTTCGATGGCCCTGGGGCCCGACAACGCCCCCCCGAAGCCGCAGACTGGGAAGAGCAGCAGGGTTGAAGCGTCCAGCTCCTCGGCTTGGACCGCTTCCCCTGCCGCGCGAGCCCTCGCGCCGACAAAAGCCTGGCGAAGGCTCTGAGGCTGGCGGCTCTGTTCCCTCCTGGTCAGGGGACCGGCCGGCGCTCTCCACCCGCGTCACCGTGCAGGTGTGCGGGGGGGGGGGGGGGGGGCGGGGGGGGGGGGGGGGGGGGGCATTAGGGAAAACGGCCCGACCACGGTGGGGCCGGTGAGCGGGACGACGCGGGGAGGGGGGCGATACGAGGGGGGACCGAAGAGAGGGCGAACCGAGGGGCCGGGGAGCGAGCAGGCTTGGCTGGTCCCCTCCTCGAGCGGGAAATTCGCAAGGGCGGCCGCTCGCGCGTCCCCTCCCAGAGCGCGGCCGCCGAGCCTGCCCTCTGCTTTCAGCAGCTGCTCTTGGGATGCTTGTGGCCACGCCGGCGGGCCCGTCCAGCCCCAAGTCCGCCGACTCCGTCGGCGTGCGTGAAACGTTTCTCCGCTCGAGTCGTCGTCGCCGTCACCGCTCCCCCCCTTTTCCCTGGGCCCTCCCCCTCGAGCGGCGCAGCCCAAGGGAAATCAAACAAGGCCGTACTTGATTTGAAGGGAAGCCGGGGGGGGGGGCCCATGGAGTGGGTCGCGGGGAGGGGGGTGGGGGTCCCAGGGGCGCGTGAGCTCCCCCTGGTGGGCCAAGCGAACTCAGGACTTCTCCCCCCCGCCTCCCCCCGCCTCCCCCCGCCTCTCCCCCTCGCCTCCTCCCGCCTCCCCCCGCCTCTCCCCTGCCTCCCCCAGCCTCCCCCCCCCGCTTCTCCCCCAACTCTCCCCTGCCTCCCCCCGCCCCTCCCCCGCCTCCCCCCGCCTGGTCAGCCTTCCCCAGCCTCTCCCCCGCCTTCCCCACGCCTCCCCGCCGCCGTCGTCGTACCCCTTCAGGGTCTTCCCAACAGAGGAGGAACAAGCGGCGTCAGCGGAAGCTTTCGGAGCTCCGCGCGGGTTCTTTGGGTCCCCTCCCTGGCGCACGAATGGCGCCAGGGTCGGCGCCACCAGGAGGGGGTCCAGCGACGATCCAAGCATCCCCCGCGGACCTATACAGAACATGATTATGTTTGTTCCCAACCATCCTGTGGTGTTGAGTCCTCCTCTTGAAGAGACATCGCCCCGCGTCTCACCTCCTCCTCACTCCTCCTCCCCCTCCCTCCTCCTCCCATCCCTGCCTCTGCACTCCGCACCTGTCGAAGATTTCGGCACACTCCTCACACGTTCGTGGCCCAAAAGGGAGCCCCATCCAAGGCCCAAATGGTGCCGCCCGCATGCGTCCCTGACACCGATGTCGGCACACCCCTCACACGCTTCGTGGCCCCATTGGGAGCCCCACCCAAGGCCCCACGTGGTGCCGCCCGCATGCGTCCCCACCCATGTCGGCACACCCCTCACACGCTTCGTTGTCCCATAGGGAGCTCCACCCAAGGCCCCACGTAGTGCCGCCCGCATGCGCCCTCACCACCCATGCCGGCACACCCCTCACATGTTTCGTGGCCCAAAAAGGAGCTCCATCCAAGGCCCAAATGGTGCCGCCCGCATGCGTCCCCGCCACCCATTTCGGCACACACACACACACACACGTCACACGTTTCGTGGACCCACGAGAAGCCCCACCCGAGGCCCAAATGGTGCCGCCCGCACGCGTCCCGCCATAGGGAGCACCACCCAAAGCCCGACGTGGTGCCGTCCGCATGCGTCCCCGCCACCCATGTCGGCACACCCCTCACACGCTTCGTGGCCCCATGGGCAGCTCCACCCAAGGTCCCAGTGGCGCAGCCCGCATGCGTCCCCGCACGCATGTCGGCACACGCCTCGAACGTTTCGTGGCCCCATATGGAGGCTCCACCGAAGGTCCTAGTGGCGCCGCCCGCATGCGTCCCCGCAACCCATTTCGGCACACCCCTCACATGTTTCGTGGCCGCATAGGGAGCTCCACCGAAGGCCCCAGTGGCGCAGCCCGACTGCGATCACGCACCCATTTCGGCACACCCCTCACACGCTTCGTGGCGCCACAAGGAGCTCCACCCAATGTCCCTGTGGCGCAGCCCGCATGCGGTCCCGCACCGATGCCGGCACACCCCTCACACGTTTCGCGGTCCCAGAGGGAGCTCTACCAAAGGACCCAGTAGCGCAGCCCGCATGCGTCCGCCCCGCTCATGTCGGCACATCCCTCACACGTTTCGTGGCCCCAGAAGGAGCCCCACCCAATGCCCAAATGGTGCCGCCCGCATGCGCCTGCCCCACCGTTTTCAGCACACCCCTCACACGCTTCGTGGCCCCATAAGGGAGCTCCACCGAAGGCCCCAGCGGCGCAGCCTGCATGCGTCCGCCCCGCCTATTTTGGTAAATCCCTCACACGCTTCGAGGCCTCATAGGGAGCTCCACCGAAGGTCCCAATGGCGCAGCCCAGATGCGTCCCCCGCCCATTTCGGCACACCCCTCACTTTCTTGGTGCGTGGCCCCATAGGGAGCCCCCTCAAAGACGATACTCACAATGACGGCACTTGCAACTGGATATGGTTGGGTCCTCCGCCAGGCTAATATTTTCGTTCCTGGTCAGACGCTCTGTGCCACCTGGTTCCCAACCTTGCGAGCTACCGAGCTCGTTGCCAACATCGTCTAGTGCGCCTGGATCACCTAGTGCGTGACACACATCCGGCAAATCTTGCATGCCGATCTTTGCCATACCGTGGCGAATGCATCATTTCGGCATCATGTTTGATGGCGCAACAGAGCAGGACCACGAGATGCTGCTGTTGCCGAGGAAGGGATACGTTCTTGCCCCCGAGGAAAAAAACAGAAATCCGCAGCTCAGGGGAGAAGCAGCATGCGAGGAGGACCAGGACGAGTACAGCCATCATGCTATCATCAGGGGCACTGAACAGCGAGCGAAGAGGCTTTTCTGGCCAAAGGCGAGCCTCGGCGGCCGACTTGGATTGAAGGAGCGGCCCGAAAACCAGAGCCCCTCCTGAGCCCAAGTGGTCAATATTCCAGCGTCTTGGCTTTGGTCGGGCGTGACCTCCTACAAGGAAATTTTCTGCGACAGATGAAGCATACCCAACACATATTCAAACATGCTCAAGCTACCGGAGAACAGCCCTAATCACAATCTTTTGATCTTTTGTGGCTATAGGGCTATGGGGCTATTGGGCTATAGGGCTATGGGGCTATAGGGCTGTAGGGCTGTAGGGCTCTGGGGCTCTGGGGATATAGGGCTACGGGTTTACAGGGCTATGGGGCTATAGGGCCATAGGACCATAGGGCTACAGGACTATAAGGCTATAGGGATATAGGGCTATGGGGCTACAGGGCTATGTTATATAGAGCTATAGGGCTATAGTGGTATAAGGCAATTTGGCTGTAGGGCTACAGGGCTACAGGGCTATAGGGCTATAGGGCTATTGAGCTCTAGGGCTATAGGGCTATAAGGCTATAGGGCTATAGAGCTGTCGGACGATCGGATCATAGGGCTACAAGGCTATACGGCTATAGGGCTACAGGGCTATTGGGATACAGGGCTATAGGGCTATTGGGCCATGGGGCAATAGGGCTGTACAGCTTTAAAGCTATAGGATAAGGCACCTGGGCACCTGGGCTGGCCGTGGAAATCGGTGGCAAACCTGACCTAACGGTATGCATCCACTAGGGCCCCATACAGAGGCAAGCTCTGATTGGGGATGTATGTGTGTATATATATATATATATATATATATATATATGCAAAAAACGTCCCCCGACGATTTTCCATTTTTTTGGAGATTCCTCCTGTAGAGGGACTGGCCCGACCTAAGTCTTGGCTGCAGTGGGGAGGGCATTCGCACGCGCGCGCCAAGTCCCTGCGCCAGTCCGCGGAGGAGCCCCGCGTGCGCTTCGGCTTGCTCTTGTTGACCTCCCGCCGAAGGCAGGCCCCACGACCGACGAGCGCCGCCACGCTGCCCGCGCTGCCTCGCTGACGCTCCACCCTCGCCGATCGCGGGCTGGAGCCGACAGCCCCAAACCCTGGAATCTCGAAGGCATCTCCTCCTCCTCATCTTCCTCCTCCTCCTTCGCCTCCTCGTCCTCCTCCTCCTCCTCCTCTCCCTTCCCCTACTGATCCTCCCCGTCCTCACTCTCCTGATCCGCCCCCCGCGAATGGAGGACGAGGCGGCACGGTCGAAACATAAGCACAAGACCTTGGGACATAAGCCCCTTCGCCAAAGTCCCAACGACCCATGGGTACACCCAGAAAGAAAACCATTCCGAGTTGGAGAGCCCGCACACGAAAAACATGAGGGTACAGTTTCAAGGCTAGGGCTGTCTGAATAATCTTGCCAGCTGTACGACCGCTGCCGTCCACCCGCCTCCCCTCTGCGACGGGCGACGACGACGCCGAGTGAACAGGGACGACGGACACCGTCGACTACGACGACGACGGCGACCACGACGACGACGAAGACGACGCCGAGAGACCAGGGACGACGGACAACGTCGACTACGACGACGACGGCGACCACGACGACGACGACGACGACGACGACCTACTTACTTACTCTCGGCATTCGAACACGGTAGCACCAATGCCCTAGCCGACACTGGGACGCTGTATAAGTTATGTGAGAAACAAAACGAGGGCAGCAGCGGACTGAGAGAACATATGCACATAACAATTGTATTATAGAGACGCCTGAAGATTAGTGAATTCGGAATTCTGTAGGTACACCCAAATGTATCCCCCCCTTTCCTACGCCTCTCTTTCGAACAACCCATATCCTTGGGGCGCCAGTCGAGCCAGGCCGCCGATGATGCCTGCAACTCCTCAGAGTTATGGGTGTGGTGGTGCCACGGCGGGGACCCGAATATTTTTTCCCAACGCCCCGTTCGAAGCTTCCTCTTGTGCCCCTGGGGCCCGGTCAGCTCTTTCATATACGTGAGGTACTCGTAATTCTTATATTTACATGGCTTATGCACAATGCGAGGTTTGTCATAACGTTCCATACGCATAAAATATCCAGCCCAGGAACAATCCAATAAGAGAACATGGTGGTCCCACGGTGTCGAGCCGTTCTTCTCCAGAGCAGCACATATACGCCGGTGTATTTTCTTCATGTAGTCCTCAATCCCCTCCTGGTCGTCCTTTAGGACTCTCATCATATAACGAAGCACCCTGTACTGTGCTGATCTGATCTGTGCTAGGTGTTCACGAGTGAAAAACAGAGACGCGAAACAATGTAATGCAGCGGCCTTCACGGTGCGGTCCAACAGAGGGGTTCTTTTCCCCATTGGCGCCCGCCTCGCACAGAGTAAGGCTTTGTATTTGGCGAGCCATGCCCATGCACGTGCAATGCCCTTTTGGGCAGCAGTCCTGGCACGTCCACCAAACGAAACTTGAGCTCCAAACATCCTTATCCCTTCCTCCCTGGGTATTCGTGTCAAGCGACCCTCTGAGACTGTCACCGAAGCGGGGTTGGCGTTGTCCGCCGTCGTGATCCAACATCGCGCACTCTGCCTAATAACTACACAATAGCGCCGCCGAAGGATGAAATGCCACGCCTCCATCATCTGTGTGAACATGGAAGGCGAGGAGGCACACGCATAATACTTGTCCGCAACAAGTAAGAACGCTAAGACGATCAATTTTCAGCTCCTTAAGACGTCGTTTGTTTTGCCTCATCACCTCCACCTCCTCCGCCTGTAAAGGATAACCCCAAACTTCTCGTGCACAGCGGTCTTCAAACCCACGAACGGCATCGTCCGCGAACACTGAAAACTGAAACGGTGCCTCGGGGCCCCCCTACAAAAGCAAGCGGGATCTGGGAACAGCTCGGGTCGGGGGAAGTCCAGGGAGGAATATCTCCGAGACGCTGCCGCGGATCTCGCGAAGCCAAGCTGCCGTGATGATTCTCGGAATGCCGCGACGCTGAGGATTGCGGATGATGAGCGCGTGGGGGACTTGGTCGTGGGCCTTATGGGAAACACCCACCCCCATGTAGAGATGCTCCTGGAACCCTTTTGCTTTTTTCACCAACAGTCTGGTAGTCGATAGTCGATGCCATTTCATGGACCTGAACACCTTCGCGGGAAGCGAACTGGGCCTGGGGGAGGGGTTGATCATGAAAACCGACAAGGGCCCCTACGCACATGGAGTACAACTTGAGAAGGCTGGACAGGATCGCGATGGGTCTGCAATCGGAGACCTTGCAGGCGCCCGCCCCAGAACTTGGCCACCAAGGAAACTTGGTTGAAGATCCCGCCGAGCAAGTCCAGCGGCCCGTTGCTCAGCACCTGCAGCATCGCCGCGACTACACAATCGTCTCGGGCACAACACTTACCTGGCTTCATCCGAGCAAGGCATCTGCGCAGAAGAGCAGCGTCGAATTTGTGGGGGAGGTTCGCGGCTGCCTCCTGCGGCTACTGCTGCCAAATCCATTTGGGTAGCTTCTCCTTCTGGGCATTTGGATCGTTGAATAAACCATGGTACAACAATGCCACTTCCTCCCTCATGTCATCCACCTGCGTGATCAGTCCCGCCCCTCCTTCTTCGGTGCTTCTACCTTCCTAACTTTGAAGCTCCGTAACGATTTGTGTTCGAGGTGATAACTTTCAGCTTGTAGCTTATGTTGTAACTCTACCAGACGGGTACCCAAAGCATGTCGCAGGCTAGGGTCCAAATAAGCATCGCGTGCCTGGCGGGTCGCCGACGCCTGCAGTGGCAGTGGCTGGTCCTTGGGGGTCCTGGGAAGGCCTCGATATTCTTCTTTCCACAGCTTGCGGCCACATCAGCAACCGCCGAGGTAAATTTCCCGAGGTAGGGGGCGTGCTGGCCCAAGTCGTTTTTCTAGATCAAATTGCTTTCGGGCGGGGGCTCATCCGCGACCAACTGCGCGGGCTGGTGCTGCTGCTGCTAGGGGGGCTTCGCTAGGAGGTCGCCCCAGGCGCAGCGGAACAGCAAAGGGGGCATCTGTGTGTGAGACGCCGCCGTGCAACCGTGGTTGTTCCTCGTCCGTCGGGATAGAGCTGTGCTTGAGGAGGGTCGAGAAATCTGCGCCCTCGAGCGGGTCCGTCGGGTAGGGTCCCACCTGGGGCCATCGGACAGGAGAAACCGAGCTCGGGTTTCCACCCCCCAGGGCGAGGCGATCAGCAATATCGTTTCCCTCGTCGCCAGTATGTCCCCGCACTCAGCAAAGGATGACTCTGAAAGCGCGGAAGACTTTGCCCCGTGCATATCGGAGCAGGGAGGTGTGGACGAGATTGTGCTTGGGGTGGAAGGTGCTCTCCAGGATACCTATCGCGTACGTGGAGCCAAAGGCGATCTCGACCGCGGAGCCTGCGGCAATGGGGTGGTGTCCTGAGGGTGTAAGAGATCCCAGGAGCCACAGACCTGTTTCGATTGCCCCTGCGAGTTCAGCAGTATTGCTTGTACGCACTACCGCCCCTAGAAAACCTGGGCAGGAGGGGTTGGCGTGTGCAGGGCCGCAGGCTTCGAAGGCGGGGGCGAGTTGGACTCCAGAGGCTTTCAGAGACTTCGAATTCGGGGTCAGGCCAGGGGGGTCCTTAAATGCGGCAAAACCCCAAACGCACGTGAACTTCGTCTTGGTGCGTTCCTTGAAATGGCCATCGCTGCAAATTCGGAAGCTCACCTGGTCGGGTGAGATGTCTGCTCTCAGCTGGCCTGCAATGCCACATTTGCCCTCGAGCTGGGCGCGAAGGGTGTGGTCCAGACGGGTGTCGACATGGAACGATGCTTGCAGATTGGTGCGAAGGCAATCTGGGGCCGGCGCGCAGCGAAAAAACGGAGTGCCGCAGGCGAGCGGTCCGACTTCACCGCCGACGACTCCCTCACCTGGGCGTTGTAGCTGGCCGCGGGGAAGGCACTGCTCACCAAAGTGAAGTCGATCTGCCTTGGCTCGAACCGACCGTCGTAGAAGCAGGTGGCGACGCCCGTCGCTGGCTTGCTCCAGGTGCTGGCTGCGATTAGGTCGTTCGATATCAGAAACTCCCGCAGGTAATTTGCTTTCCATGAGTGCACTCCTGCTGTGTGAGGTCCCAGTTCACGAATCGGATACCTTCTCTTGCCGAAGGAGCAGTTCGCATCGACGCAAAGTACTGGCCTGAGATCAGACGGTGTCAATGCAATCAGCTGCTCGCACTCTTGGAGGTCCTGGGCGTAGAGGGTATGATTGCGGGAGTCGGGGTCGAGATGGGCACATCTGATCCAAAGTTTGCCACGAGCTGTGTGGACTCCTAACGCTAAGCAGGATAGTATGAACAGCGGCTTCCCGATGGTGCAAGCCGTGGGCGCCTTGTGCACTGCAGTGCAGGGTCTCCTTTTCCGCCTCCCGCTGGGGGGGGGGGTCCTAGGATTACTGTATGGCCAGCTATCTCGGGTCTGGCAAGGTCCGTCTTCGTGAATTCTTGAAAACGCATCGCATCCAAGTAGAACTCGCGCTCCAATTGGTCCAGCACCCCACGACACCTTTCATCGAAACCCCACGGCAGTTCCACGATATGATCACAGGGTCGTCGCTGATGTGAGCACGGGCCTCTACATATAGTCAAGATCTGCGTGGCGGGTCGTTGATCTTGTCCAGCTTGGCTGTCAGATCGATCTGCACTCCCATGCTGTTCAGCCGGGCCTGACCACCCTCGGCGACCCGCAGCAGGCATGATGGGAATGAACGCGTCAGCAGTCGGATCGGCTTCCTCGGCCGCACCTCCTAAGGCAGATGTTTGCGCGGGCAGACAACCGACCCCGTGTCTTTCTATGCGTCCAAAGAGTTTGTCAGCGCCTGCGCGTCATGCGTCGGCCACTCTGCAGCGAAGGCGGCTTTGATCAGGTCCATCGCGTGGGCAGCGCGGCTGGAACATGCGATCTCGTCAGTGTAAATGTCGGTGCTATGCCGCAACTTCCGTCTGTTGCTGTCGACCACGTCCACCTCGCGACCCCTCTCGGCGAAGGAGCTGGTAAACTTCTTTCCCTACCAGGCACTTCCACATGTAATCCTTGTTCAGGAACTCAACCTTGACGACGCGGTCCGTGTAGGGGCCCGCGGGAAATTCTCTGGCACCCCCCTCGATGTGGGCGCCCCTCAGCACCTCGCGCATCTCATTCGCCAGTTCAGCCCCCTCTGAGTAAATCCAGCCCCCGATGCAGAGGGTCTTCCTCGTCCTCATGGGGGTCTGCCCGCTGGTGGTGCCGCCGTTGAAACATCCGTGCCCCCTCTTCCCGCGGACGCCACCGAGGCCGCATGTGTGCGTGGGCGCGAGCAGCGCTGGCCCCTGACTCCACGACAATCATTCTGGACTTCAGGCCTGCGATGTCGCCCTTCAGGGCAGCAGCTTCGTTGTCGGTTTTCGTCACTTTCTGGTTCGCGATCTCGATCTTGGCGTCCAGGGGCTCGATGGGCTCGCAAAGGACACTCTTGAAATCCTGGGGGTGAGCTGCGAACGACCTGCTCTGGCCTGGGTCGAGACCGTCGGGGGGCCGAGCTGGGGGAAGAGCAGCAGCGGGAGGGCCCAGCAGGGGACCAGGGTGATTTGGCTCGGCAGGCCCCTTATAGCCTTTCCATGGGTCGAAATGGTTCGCGTTCGCTGGAACGGGTCCTTCTCTATGCGCAGCAGCCAACATGGGGCGACGACGACGACGGCGACGAACGGTCAGCGTCGAATCGGGCCGCGCCAGCACGGGGTCGGAATCGAATCGGATCGGCTGCGCCGAGATGCACGCCAGCGCCGCGAAAACGTTGTCCGTCGGCGGCGAGGCAAAGTTGGATGCGCCAGCGAGGGGCTAGACAGAAGTGCCGTGAAGCGAGTTGGCCAGCGCGCGCGAGGGGGAAGCGGGGGGGCAAGGCGGCCGCGGGGGGGGGGGGGGAGGCCGCTCAGGGGCGGACGGGTATGCACCTGAGCATGCTGGCGCGGCCGACCCCGCCAGCGGGGGCCATGGCAATTGCCGGGCCGCAGCGCCGCGAAACCGTGGGGTCTCATCGGATCGTCGGACTCCAACCAAACCTGTCAAGCGTGAGTTGTCCGGGGAGTTCGTTCCTCCGACCCCCTGCTCCCCCTTCTGGGGAAGGGCTTGCCCCTTCGCCTACTCCCCCCCGGACTCTGGGCGGAGGGTTGGGCGAGCGGTCAGAGTGTTCAAGAGCGCCCAAATAAGGCCCATGGTAGACCGAGATGGCCCCCAATATATGGAGGTGGTTCCCAATATCTGGCAACGTAGCCCAAGATAGCCTCCAATATGCCTCCAAGATGCCCCAAGGCACCCCCGCGGCGGATCAAATTGGTCACGGGACCTCACAAGGGCGCCCCCCCTCCCCCCGAGAGCTTGCTTGGCACCTTTACATAGCCGACGGGGCTCCAATGTTGGTTTGTCCTTTGATATGTTCGCTTCCGACAGGCTGGTCAACCTTCGAGACGGCTCCGGGATGGTCTACGAGAGCCGCGAGGGGGGCCCAATACGGCTCCTAGGCGGTCTCAAGAACACCCAAAGGCTATGCGGCACCGCCCTCTAGAACCAAGGCCTGGGCCATCGAATTACTGTGTGTTGAACGTATTTTGGCATATCCTTGGAAGGCTGCCGGCCCAAAATGGCCCCATGCAGCCCGAGATCCCATGCCGCGCGATGTACCCCAAGATGGTTGAATACAGCCTCCAACATGCCTCCAAGGGGCCACAATGCCACCCCGAGAAGGATCTCAATGGCCACGGGGCATCCCGTTTGCGCTCCCGAGAGCTCAACGTCCGTCCCAAGCCTACAGAAACACAGTGTAGGTACCCTTCTCGCCTTTGGGCTTCTTGACTGGCTTCTGCGGCATCAGAGCGGCTCAAATATAGCCCAACAGAGCACCAGGGGGCGCCCGAGAGGGCGTCGCTCACTGCTTCTCCTAGGCCAAGCAAGCATCCAACGATGCCCTGAGGAGCCCCGTCCGCGCCAATCGTGCGCGACGCAAATGGCCCGGGTCCCCCGCGGGGCATTCACGACATATTGCATCCAGACAAACATATGTTCGGACGTTTGCGAATGCGGAATAGAAAGCAACGCAAACTGCCCGAGCACTAAGATGATCAATTCTTTGTTGGTCATCATTGTTCGAGATACCCGAATTGCCGAGGTTGTTGACCAATTCGTTCTTGGTCATCCTGATGCCGAAGTCCTCGATAGTAATGGTGTAATTGGTCTTATCGGAGGCGGTCTTGGTGTGAAAATTTGGCTGGGCCTCGATCTTGTCAGGATCCGTGATGGACTCGTACCGGATCTTGTCCAAGGTATCTGACGCATTGGCAATGAGCTCGCGCAGGAAAATCTCCTTGTTGGAGTAAAAGGTGTTGATGACTGTCAGCATTGAATGCGAATGTCTCTGCCGTGGCTGCAGTGAGGGTTCAACGACTGGAAAATGGCCGTAATAGCTTCAGCCAAACTGGCTACGGATATGCGCCGCTGCGCCGTCCCACTTCTCTGGTCGATGGCCTCCAAGATGGCCCCGAAAGGGCATGCAAAGGAGCCTCCAGGGAGCCCGACACGCGTCCAAAATGGCCCCAAGAGGGCCGCAGTATGGCCGAAGTGCGGCCGTCAAGAGGCTTCCATATCGAAAGATCCAAGAAGGCGCACGTCTGGTTAACACCTGGGCCTGCTCAGGCTGATCCCGAGCTCCAGTTTGACGAGTGCCCCCCGCCCCTTGTTCCGCGACTCGCGTGGGCATCGTTTCTGGATGTCCTCGCGGGGGTACGCAAGGCGTCTATACTATGGCGCCTGCCCTGCGGGCCCGGTGCCTTGTTGGCTACCTGAAGGGTGATTGCTGAAGCTATGACTACACGTCGGTCGGAAGAAGTAGGTCAACACATGAAGTAGGAAGGCGGAGTAAGTTGATTTGGTCCAGGCCATCCCAGAGAAGAACAACACACAGCAAAAGCGTGCCGATGCTTGAAGTAGGAAGGCGCTTGAAGTGGATTGGGATCTGGAAATCCAAAAATACCTGCTGTCAGCGACCGGCGTGTACGTGCTCCACGCAGAACAAAGTATGCCTTAACCCTCAAGCGCCGCAGATCGCGTAAGCTAGATGCCGATCTGGCCACTAAAATGATGAACGGTTTAGCCTCGAGAGGGGGAGGGAGGGCTCGCGTAGCCGTACCAACCATTCAGAAATTGAGATTCGGAGGTTTTTTTCGCCTCCATGATGCCCGCAGGACGGCCTGAAGGTGGCCCCAAATGGCCACAAGATGGTGCACGATGGCCCAACATGGCTTCAATACTGCCCTGGAGGCTCCGGAAAGGGCCAAAAGGGCTCTATGATTACAACCCGAATTGTGCACGCCGGGCGAAGAAGAGGAGGTGAAGGATGATGATGAGGAGGAGGAAGAGCAGGATGAGGAGGAGGAAGAGTGTGGCAGCACAGGATTGGATGAACGTTTTTGGGCTTGAGCCAAAAGAGGGTAACAGTTCACCGAGCACACTCTGCAACTCGGTAGATCGACAAGGGAAGATCACAAATGCTAAACCTAATACATAAATTCTGGAGATCGGTCACACCCGTCCGACTTCTCCTAGGTTTAGCACCCCCTTGGGGCTCAACTAGATACAGACTACCCGTTCCTGTGCTGAAACGGCCCCCTTCTCTAGCTGAAGGAAAAGGGGAAAAGGAAAGAAACTGTACACGAGAACGGATCACTGGAAGAGCGGAGATGACAAGGGCAAACTGTACAGAGATGAGTGAGAGAGGGAGAGAGGGGGAGGAGGACCACCGACACCACCACCACCACCGGGACTCCCGGACAGGCAAGTTCTTCTCTGGAGGCTGCTTGGGACCGGCTCTTGAGCTGCGGCTCGGAGCGGCGTCTCGCTACCTCGGAGCTCTCATCGACCAGGATCAAGCGACCGTGGGACATCAAATCGAGAAGTGCGGCGTTACACTTCGTGACATCCTCCTTGGTAAGAGCATCCACCGGCATTCGCCCGTGAGGCACCCAGCGGACATGGCCGCGGGCCCGTTCCAACGATTCACAGATAATTGCGAGGTCGATTGGAGTGCGCCGGTCCCGCGCGCATGCGTTCCCTTCTTTCTGCATGGTGTCGTAGATCGACTTGGCGTCGACCACGTGCACCTGCCTCTCGCGTGAGCCGAGAGAGCAATCACGTCGCAATGCTGTAGTGAATGGGCCCGAGGCCCGACGACAGTCGGGAGTGTCTACGTCATGGAAGATCACGTCGCGGTACATGATCTGTAAGAACTCTACTTCGGCGACTGCTGCAGACAGCGCCTGTGTCTCTCCTGCCAGGGTAGATGGCGCCTTTCGTCTCAGCTTGGACGAGCGCCAGCCCAGGATCGAAGCCCGGACGGCGCGGTTGTCCAGCACGGATCGGTCGGCTGCCAGGACCATCCACGCTCCTTGCGTGGGGTCGACTGGCAGGCCGCGCTCATCGTCCAGACCGTCAGTGGAACCAATGCCGCCAGCGTCCGAGAAGGACAGAAATGCCATCTTGTCTGGATCGAGTCGCCACACAGTGAGTCCCCTGGAGGCTGACGAACGCAGGTGGCGAGCTAACTTGTTGGCCGTGATCACGTCCCCGGTCCTGGCTTGGTTCAGCTTGCTGGCCAGGATACCGGCCGCGCCCGCAGCCTCGGGCCGGACCTCGCGGCCCAGCCAGTTAAACTTGTACACGAGTGAACGCAGGGCCTTGAACTCATGCGGTTCCAGCGGCGTATCCTTGCGAGCCAGGCGCCCCTTGGACATGGAGAGAGGGCGGATCTCTTCCAAGATGTACTTCTCCATGTCGATCACGGCTTTGTCCGAGGAAATGGTGATTCTCCGTCCCGCAAAATCAACCGCACCCGCCTGGCAGTCCCTGTACTTCCCCCGAACTTAAACCTGGACTCCAGGACCCCTCTGAGCCAGTCCCGGGAGACCTGGTCTGAGCTTCCTATGAAGAAGTCATCTACCTCGAGCAGCATCATGTTGGCGATGCGCCCCTTGTCATCGTAGCGCATCCACCAGCAGGGCTCCAGCAGGGACCTCACGAACCCATGGGCCTCCAAATGCTCGCCGACAGTACGCCTCCAGGCCATAGGGGCGTCGTCTAACCCATAGACGTTGACCAAAAGCCTAATCAGGGAACCAGGTTCCAGCGCGATCCCCTCGCAGGGCTCCACGTAGATTTCGCCCTGTGCCCGATGCATTCTGTCGGATTGACAGAAGGCATTCTTGACATCGGCGATATCACATAGAAGACCCAAGTTCATGGCTATCTGAACGAACATCATGATAGACGAGGTTTGGGGCGTTGGGGCGTACGCCTCGAGAGCTCCGGAGTCCAGGTCTTTGTGCCCGTGGACGCGCCACCTCGACTTAGCGTCGGGGGCGGCGAAGGTGCCCTCCTGGGGCTTCCAGCGGCGGACCATCCGGCTCGAGATGATCCGGTCTGGCTGCTCACGACGGATGATTCGCGCCTTGCTCGGAGGCACCACTTCCACCGCACCTGTCGCCTTCATGGCCTCCCATTCTTTAGCATCGGACACCTCGAACTTGGCCCGGTCGGCTGGAGAGAGATTTCTCAGCGAGACCTCACCGCCCCGGCTCGCGGCGAAAACTCCGCCGTCTTGTTCCTTGGCCCTCGTCGGCTCTAGCTGCACAGCCGGGGCGGTGGAAACGCCGTCGGCCCCGGGAACCACCCAGAACGCGCCCTCAGAAAAACCTTCCCCTCTCGAGGGCGAGCGGGACCTAGCGCGTGCCCGTCCGGCCTCGATTTCTTGGACCCTGTCTGCGACTGACGCGCGCGGCTCTGAGCCTGTGATGATCCTGGTCCCGGGTCCTGGACGAGGAGACGGGGCCGGGAGACCCGGGGGAGGAGAGGAGGGCCACCACCACCACCACCAGAGACCGGAGGGGCCGACGGAGACGACGGCGACGACACAGCAGACGGCTCCAGCCGCGCCCGCTTGACCTCTGGCGGCGAACTGGAGGCTCGGGCTGCCTCGCCCCTGGCGCGGATGCACCAGGGCGTGTGCTCCGGCTGAGCCAGCGCCCTTCGGGGCCGAGGCGCCGGTCCCGCCTCGGCCTGAGGAGGTTCTGGAGGAGGCGAAAGGGACGAGGCAGAAGGAGGGGGGGCAGCAGGAGGAAGGGGGGGGGGGCGAGGGAGCAGCAGCGTCAGCAGCAGGGTCGAGGCCCCCTTCTTCCCTCCCCGGCGTTACCTCCCGGGACAAATCTCCTGTCGAGGGTCCGCTCTCGGCGATCGACGGGAGTCGAGTGCGGACGCTGCCGGCCTGAGCGACATCGGACCCCGCGTGAGACTCGCGCCCCGATGCGGATCCGGCCCGGAAGCCCCGGGGAGCAGCCGTCCGAGGCGCCCCCGACGGAGGGCCCGGGACCGAGGGACCCTCGCGACGGACAGGAGCCTCTGGCTCGCCTGGCTCGGGGCCCGGTGGGCCCGCAACTCGAGGAGCCGAGTCCTCCTCTTGACTCAGGGGTCGGTCCCAGGCGTCGTCTGGTGGGGCCCCCTCGCGCTGAACGTCCACGGCGGAGGCCCGGCGAGTCCTGGCCTGCTGCAGGAGCTCCTGCCACCTGGGACCCTGGGAGAGCTGCAGGCCATACTCCTCATCTGAGCTGGCCAAGCGGATCTGCTCTGGCGAGCGCTTCCAGAGGCGCGCCCGGACAGCGACCCAAACCGTTCCGGCCTCGTGGAGGACCACGACACCCGGACCGGCCCAGCCATCCCGGCGCCGTCCCAGGGAGTCGGCCCTGGAGGAGGTACGAGACATGTGCCTCCACACGAACGCCCACTGGCCGGGAGAGAAGGACCTGGTCGTCGGAGTCCTGGCCCGGGAAGCTCGACTGACCTGGTCTCGCGAGGTCACCTCGATAGCGAGGCGACGGGCCGCGTCCCGGATCTTCTGCGACCTGGCGAACTCGGCACCAGCCTCATCTTGCTCCATGGGGGGGCGCACCGCATCTTGCCACCCTGGGAGCCCACGACTGTCGTCGGACAAAAGGTCATGGGGAAGCCTGGGATTTTCACCGAAAACAAGCTGGAGGGGCGAGAACCCTCTGCGGTGCCAGAAACGGTTCTTGTGGGCGACCAGTTCTGGCACCAGCTCGTCGAGCTCGTCCAGCGTGGCTGGGAGGGCCGACCCCGACTCGATCTCGGCCTTGAGCCGGTCTTTGAACCAACCCCCGTGACGCTCGACGCGACCGTTCTGCCAAGGCGAGTCGGCGTCGCAAACGTGGTGATAGACACCCCATTGCTCGGTTCCCCTCGCGAACCTTCCGGCAAACTCCGAGCCTCCGTCCGAGATGAGGTAGTGGGGTGCTCCAAAAGGGTCGAATCCAGGCCTGGACAAAGGCTCGCCGCACAGTCGCCGCACGGGCATCGGCCACCCTGGCACAAACCTGGAGGTTGGAGCCGTGATCGACGATGTTGAGGAAACCGTGAGTG